TCATTGGGCTGTGAGGCTGTGTGTGTGGTTTAGTCCCGATCAAAACTAAGTGACAAAGAAACTTTTTAATTTGTTTAAAACAATATTGAACCACAAAGAGGATCTATAACTAATTTAACTCAGTTTGTTTTATGATTGATAAGAGGCAGATGTCCAGTGAGAACCAGCTGGTTCTCCATTTAACAGAGAGCAGCGTAGTCAGCCCCCTCCTCCTCTCCCCACCCGAGGCTGMGGGAGAGTGGGGCTGTGGAGCTCAGTGGAGTTAAAGTCTTATCAGATCTAGCTGCTGGTTCAAAGGTTGATTCAGTGATACATGAAGCCTTGTGTTGCTGAGGCATTGTGTGTCTGCGTGYGATTGTGTTCAAGTGATGTTAGCYGCTAACATGCTAATACGAAGCTGTAACAGACGATCATGCTATGCTAGCTGTTTCCAACCCCTGACTGCTGMAGGGGCGTGTCTTAGAGAGAGGCTTTTATATCAGAACACAGCCGCTGTGACGAAACCRTGGAGAAGACACGACATCGTGAAGAGTCGTTTAACCAATATGAAAATTARACTGCAGTACCACTGCTCAACCCATAGTATGCAGCCAAAAGACCTTTTTASACCAAATATTACAGATTTGAACTAATATGCACAAAAACGTGAAAATTAGCACAGAAACAGTACTATATAACATTTTAGACACATTCTAGATAGTTTATCAGCTAAAAAAAGTTAATTTTGGGGTAAGTTACCCTTTAAAGTCAGTAATTTATCAGCACCACCTTTCGTGTAAAATTATAAAACCCTTTGTGTTTTATTCACCAGCAGATTGTGTTTAACAACCTTCCTCAAGGCCATCCTAAAACCTGAAACCTACAGAGCTCAGGTGAACGTTCAGCACRACAAAAGACCCCGCTGAGTAAAACGAGCTGTAAGAAGACACGGGGCTGAAACGCAGACTCACTGGTTGAGGTAGAAGCCGCGTGAGGAGGCGGTGATGCTGACGTGGCGCTCCTCCACCGTCACGATGTTCAGGTACATGAGGTCGCCGTGCATCTTCCTGTTCCCGGGCGGAGGGTTCCAGCCACTCATGGTCAGGACCTTCAGGCACTGCATGGGCTGTCGATCAAAAAAAAAATAAATCAGTAGATTATTTCATCTTCAAAAGCCGAAAAAAACAGAGCAGTTTTTTTTTAAATAGAGCAGAGGATGTTTCACACCTTCCAGTCCTTGTTCTGTGGCTGGAGGGGCACCAGGGGGCGGTCTTTGCTGCCGGGCAGGATGTGTTCTGGTGGGGTACAGTCGATTTGTTCCAGTTCTGTTCCTTTCTTCTTCCTTTTACCACTGTCTGCAATCAGAGGGAGGAAGGAGAACCCTAGTGAGACCCCTGTAACTGATCTGAWGACGGCTGAACAAGTCTGAACAGTCATCAAGTTGTGACGCCAGATTCGTGCAGGTCAAAAAGATTGAGACCGAGAAAACTGATTTTTATTGATTTTACAGTCCACTCTTCATCTTTTCAGCCCAAAATAAGCCAAAACATTTCAACAGTAGGATTAAAAATGCYGAGTACGTCTTTGAGTTTTACCTCCGAGGTCTCCATCAGTGAAAACGCTGAGGAACGACAGGGAGTTGCAGTCCACTCCGTTGTAGGCGTCGGAGGGGTCCAGGCTTTTCAACAGGTCTCTGATGTGACGCACATGAATGCGAGCTTCACGCACCGTGTATGGCTCTGAAGGACAGGAACAAAACAAGCTCACATAAGAACCTCTGCTTCCTGTATTGTATTCAAAAGGCTTCAGCAGCATTTAAAAGCTTTAAGTGGAGACTGTGCGGTTATTTTCTCCAATAGAAGAYAGAGACGACACGTTTGTGGTCCAGGCTTTTCTTCATGTACTTAAAGGTATCATCGCGGCATGAATTTAGATAAACGCGGCAAAAATTGCACCAGTTTTCTTCCGAGCCTGACCTTCAACCACTCGGAGCAGAGAGCCCTCCTGCAGCCCCTCGATAGACTTGAGCTCCGCAAAGTTGTCCAGCACGTTCCCGTCCAGCTGCAGAGAGAAGCAAGTGCGATGGCAGGTGTCCTCGCGGTCCATCAACACCTGATGGATCTCCTGCACCATCTCCTGGGGGGACACCTGATTTACAAGAGAGATTAGAGCATTTAAGTCAAAGTGGTCTAAGGGCGGTAATCACTTCATCCTTTGTTGTGACGAGAAGTGTTTTTACCAAGAACAYGCTGCGATTCCATCAGCGGGCTGTCTCGGTTTCTCACACAAACAACTGAGGAGCTTATCTGTACCTGCAGGTCAAACGGCTCYGTTCCAGGCGCCTGGATCTTCACGGTGAAGCCCGTGTCCTGGATCACTATCACTTCTTGTTCATTGGACTCTTCGTCGCCGTCCACRTTGGCGTTCCCGTTCCGCTTAGATTCCGGCTCCTCCGCATGATCGTGAGCGCCGTCTCCGTTCACCATGGCCGTATCTGCGCCGTGCCCTGCAACAAACGAGTTCGCAATGAATCCACCGGACATCTGCGGCCTCCTGCAATAACCAATTTACCCATTTAGACCAGAAAAAGAAAGTTTTTCTGTATTCAAGCTGAAAAGCCTATCAAATACTTGATTTGTAGTTTTAAGTTTTAGCAAAATATCTCATGAACCAGGGCTCAAATTTAAATTAAATGTCTAATTCATCCAAAAAAATAAAAAATAAAATAACTGGCATTTTTACACATTTTGATTTATTATCTATTAAATCTGACTACTTTTGTGCTACCTTTACTGTGACCCACAAGAAACAGCAGCACCTTCAGATAATCATCAACAACACCYTGACTACAGGTGACTTTTCTTCCATATAAACCAACATATTACCACAAACTGCTGAACCTGAACGATCTCACAGAGCAAGTAAAAGGCGCACATTTTTAGTCTTTATATTATCACCATTTATATCAAATACAAGAGTTTCAACACAAATCCAACAAAAAATTGTTTATTTTTAATAATTCATCTATACACTGGATACCAAAATCAGTCTGAGACGACACACACGAGAAAAACAGAAATTTGACAATAATTCACCAGCTCATCTAAAAAAATGTTTTTTGCAAAAAACCTGCTAAGATGGGAACTGTTTCAACAGACTGGAGCATTAAATAGTTATTGGTTACAAGACTAGTAAAAATAAACAGAAACTTTTGTTATTTTCTGAGTTAAAGCAAATGGAAAATAGCTTGTTAGTTTGAACGAAGCGGAGGCCAACTATGTGGCTGCAGGACAACTGTTTTCTCTCACAGGGACACAACTGCTGCCAGCAAACACGTCCTTGCTCGCTGCTAACGGTGTCAGGGTTACTGAAGGAGGGGGTGGGGGCTCCAGAGCTGGACAGTGACCCCTGGGAGGGAATGAATGTGCTGAAAAAGTGGACGAGGCCACGCTCTGAATAACAAACACAACAGCTTCGGAGAGGTCACACGAGTTAGTGTGCAATAGTGCTGTACCAAAAGATTATTTTCTAATCTATTAATCTAACGGTTATTTTTTTCGATTAATCGATTATTCTAACAACAAATCTACAAGTTATTCTGATGTGAGTGCACTGGGTATTTAAAATGTTTTCATCAAATTAACAAGAACAGTTCTTTAATATTGTAATTTTTCTGTAATAGTTTTTTTCATGGACACAAAATATGCACTCTAGAGTCAATTCTTTAACAAGAAAAGCTTAAAAGATTTAACATCAMCATAAAATCTCAACCAAAGCATATAAAATTCAACTAAAAGAAATATAGTGCAAGATGTTAATCTAACAAATGAACTAAATCATGTAAAATTCAAGTCACTCTCTGGAAAACCTATAATAAACATATAATAAACATTTATTTATTATTTTTTATTTAACATATTTCTCAATATATAATATTTAACAAATATCAAGACAACACCCAACTCTTTGTATTGTAACATCAGTTGTGTAACTTATTTCTTTAAGGTGAAAACTGTTGAAAACAAGACTGTTTTGTCTTATTACACAAATTAATATCCAGCTCAACATATTTCTATTGATGTCATTTCCCCACTAGAAAAATTATGTGATGGAGGTCCATGGAAGGCAAATAAGTTTAAATCAAATAAACAAAAGAGGATGCAGTTAAAATAAATAAAAGGTATTTAAGCTGCGTTTTGAACATCCAAAACACGTCCAACCCTTGTTGGCTGCTTGTGCTCTTTAGGTCAGACGTGTGTCGGGAAGCTCCTCTGTTGTTTGAGATGCTGGGGGAACCGTCTGATGGGGGAACGCGGCTCGACCTAACACCGGTCTCTGTTTAATGGCGGATGAAATAAAGGAAGTGTTCACAAGATAATTAATCSACCAGATAACTCAGAGGTGGTCTGTTTGGTAAATTTTACTCCAGGAGCTGTGAGCTTGTTTTCAAGCTTCAGACTGAACTGAAGCAGCGGCTGCTGACGTCATTACGCTCTTGATGCTGCGTTCAGGACAAGCATGGAAAACTCACCACTCTTATGCCAATACGGTCGCAATGATGCATTTAGGTACCGAAATGGAATTGCATGAACATTCACGTGGTGGTTATGTAATACAGCGAATCGATAATAAAAAATCTGCCTCGACAAATTTACATTATCGAAGTCATCGATTATTTCAACTAATCGGTGCAGCTCTAGTGTGCAAGATGTAAAGCAAAAGCTCGGCGTCGAGTCGTTTCAGTGGATTCGTTTTCAGCGTGAAGCGATCCAGTTCTTAAATCAGCCCCTTCACTGTCAGAGTCTGACACAATGTTTCAGAAACTAACACACTCGCTAACAGTCAACACGAGGGACTCCTGTCACTAACTCACCACAGGTCACATGTAAACTTCCTGACTGACTGGAGATGTCGAATGAATCTGGGCAAAGACACTCCAAAGCCCTGAAATCTGCAACTCAGTCCGTCTCTTCAGAGACTGTGATGAATGTGAATGCACACAAGGCATAAACTAAAGGAAAGCACAGCACCTACTGCTTTGTTCATGCTCAGAGCCTGAATTGTAGCTATTTCTGAGTGTTGTTGCTCAACTGTGGCAGCTGGTGATAATAGACTGTGTAACAGATCTCTTTGATACAATCAGAGCAACTATGAGTGTAACACTCAAAAACTGGGATGACTGTGGACTTCAGGAGGTCTGCAGCTCTGATCTACCTCATTTATTATAAACAATGTATTTTTTATTAAAACCTGTAGGTTTCCTACACTCAAAATATCAAACTGTGAAAATTCAACTTGCTTCAGGAGTGGCTGATAATGTTCTACATTTGGTTTAACGTACACCAAGTTTGCAGAGAAATTACTGTATTTTACAAAATTCAAGACAAAGTGCTCACTTAGCATTAACATGGAAAATAAAACCAGGTGTAGAAATTGCGATAAGAAGTAGAAATTATGTCAAAAGGCAAAAAAAGTCCCACAAAACAGATGACAGGATGTGCCAGCTGAGTTATGAAATTATGCACTTGCAGATCATATTATTCCATGACTAATAAGTTTATGGTAGCAGCAGGCGCTCACCTGGCTCAGTTTTAATGGGAAAACACAACTATTATAAATGATGTGAACAGAAATGGAAAAGAAGGCACATCTCATTTTAGGGTCACTCTAATCCCGAGGCTATCAGGAGAAACATGGTCCAGACTCCRGGCTCTCAAGGTTGAAGCTTTCAATGAAGTCAAGGTGAAGAATCCACAAAACAAGGACACAAATCTGACACTGCGATGCCCCAGAGCACCTGTAAAATAAACTGATTTGTCCAAAACACAAAGTGAGAGCTCATTGTAATTCTACAGTGAGTTTAAAGTGCCTGTGACATGCCTGTCCTTTAAATACAAAAAGTCAAAGAAGGCATCTTTATACTTAGGAAAATTGGCATAGTACACATGATTTTACCCATTTTGTCCCATAACTGGCCTTTTTTCTTTTGAATTTGGCTCAGCCAAAGTGAAACAGGAAGTGACATTACAGGAGAACTCATTAATAAAAAACTCACTGGTCTCTGTTTATTAAAACAAAATTACTTAAACTTTAACTCTTCTTTGTCTCTCTCTTCGATAGCAACTAAAAATAATCTAAAGAAACATCAGATTCTTCTCTACAGTCTGTGTTAGCTTTTGTAACAATACTCTGTTTACATGCTGACATTCCCCTTTGACATCACTTCCTGTTTCTTCACATGCAAATATCTCAACAACCGTTCATCTCAGCGACGTGAAATTTGTTTTGCAATATGTTATCGATATCATCTTTCCAAAAATGCATTCATGTTATTACAAAAATTTGATGTCACAGGCACTTTAAGAACAGGTATATTTTTTTCAAATC